CTAAAATTGAGAACGTGTGCGTTGGCCGTGGCGGAGGATAAGGTTGTGCTCGGCTCTGATCGCTTAGAGTTCCTAGGAAGCATAATCAGCGGGGGACAGGTGAGTGTCCATCCCGATAGGATTAAGGCACTGGAGAAAACCCCTGCCCCAGCTACCAGAAAGGAGTTGCTGACGTTTTTGGAATCGGTGCAATACATCGCGCCACATGTCCCGGAAATTGCAGAGGTATTAGGGCTTTGTATCAGTTGGCTTCGCCAAAGAAAAAATGGCGATGGGAAGAGGCACACAGCAGGCATTCGAGAGGTCCATACAACAGCTACGAGATCACATTGCATTGAATATCCCGCAGCCTGGGAAGGGATACCACGTATACACCGACGCTTCACTGGAGGCTATGGGCAGTGTAATACTGGATGGACACTCGAGGCTGGATAGCTTGTGCATCAAAAAGATTCACGGACATTCAGAAGCGTTGGTCGGCAACGGAGCGGGACTGCTATGCGATTGTCTGGCTCTTGGAGACGTATCGATACCTGCTGAAGGGGGAACGCATTTGGTTGTGGACGGATCACAAGGCTCTGCTAGCGCTAGACCACATTGACGGTGACAAGCTCGCGAGATGACGGATCACAAGGCTCTGCTAGCGCTAGACCACATTGACAATGACTAGCTCGCGAGGTGGCGATCAAGATTGTGTGAGTTCGACATTCAATTACAACATGTTGCGGGAAAGGACAACGGTCTGGCGGATTGGTTGAGCCGACTGCCGGAAGATCATGACGTGACAGCGGGGGAAATTTCGGTCCCTATTGTTCTTTGTGTAGGGGAAGCGCCGCCTGCGTTGTCCATTGCGTTACTAAAGGCTCAGTCACCTCCCGACTTTGTGAGAGGGAAATTGACGTGTGTCGATGGCTTCTGGCTGCACGCATTGACAAGGCGTCTGTACATCCCGGACAAATTGCGGTCAGTTTTCCTGCGGATGTTGCACGGAGCGCCTGCTACCGGTCATGCAGGGTACAATCGTTGCTTGGCACGCGCCTGTAGATATGTCTGGTGGCCTACCTTAGAGGAAGATCTGAAGCGACATATTGATCGATGCAGGCTGTGTTTAATGCGCCGTCGATTTACTCCTGAGAGCTATCGGAAGTTTGCCCTCGAAAGGCCGGGGTTTTTGGGTCCATCTTGAGTATGGACTTTGTCGCGCTACAACGAGGGGTGAGAAGCACCCAAATATTATGTCCCATAGATCACTGCACTCGATTCCTTTTTGCACAAATGGTGTTGGCTGAAGATGCCAACTGCGGTGGAAGCACTGACGCACTTCTGGATACCAGCATTTGGGGCACCTTATGCGGTTCTCACGGATAACTCGCCATTTGGTGACTGCTTTGCCAATGAAATGTCAGCCCTCGGAATTCGCCATGTCAGATGCGCTGTGCATTACCCACAGGGCAATGCCATAAATGAAAGCGCCCATCGATTCTTGGAGCACGCCCCAGCCACCACGGCCAGGGTGGAATAGAGGGAAGCACTTGCGTTAGCGGTCACTGCCCACAACGCTACGCCACATGCATCGCTAGGGCGTAGTCCGTCAGCCGCTGTGACCGGACGTGAACACTCGTTGCCGGGCTGGCTGAACCGACGACAGAAACTACCCGGATGCTCAGCCAGCGCAACAGACTGGAGTGCTCCATAAGCATGGAGGCTCTTCGTCAGTTGACGAAACCACGGGTCACCCCGTTGGTTCATGTGGGAGACGTGGTCGTGTATCCGCTGACAGAGTACGAAAGAGACAAATACCCTCACTGGACACAAAGTCCTAAGCTTACCCCCGTGAATAGCTTCCCGCATCGCGTCTTATGTTTGGACGGCTCACGTGCCACCTTGTTACCATTCTGGACGGGGGGAATGGCGGAAGTCGTCAAGCCAACGCGTCATCTT